TGATCTATGTATTGTGATAAATTGTATGAGCCCCAATAAATTGATTAATTAAAAAATAAATAAATAAAATAAAAATAAATAGACAAAAAAAAAAAAGAAAACAGAAAACTATTCAGTGGAGAGCCTCTCTTGTTCTATTTAGTTGAGAATGAAAACACCTGTGAAAGTTTGTAAGCCAGCCAACTCATATATTTTGATTTCTCCCTGTTCTGGAATTTTACAGAGATATAAGTTGTTCCTCTTGATAGTGTCCCACACAATTCTTAGGCTTTGTTCAGAATTTTTTTGTTGTTGTTCAGAATTTTTTACTCTTTTTTGTTGATTGCTGCTCTTGATTACAATCAAGGGATTCCAATCTTCAAGCTCATTCATTCTCCCTTTTCATTTCTTCAATTCTATTGCTTTGCTTTTATAATATACTATCTAATTCTATTAACTTTGTATTCATTTTCTGGATTCCTATTTTGTTTATTCTTGCTGTAAAGTTTCTAAATTTCTATTTTTTCCCATAGTTCTTTCATTCTTTTTCTCCATATATTGAAAGTATCTGACCATCTTTTTTTTTTCTTCTGGTAATTCCAGAGCATTTTCTTCTTTAGGAAATTCCTTTGGATTGTTGTACTGGTCACTGGTCTATCCCTATCATTCCTGTATAGTTGTGTGGACAAAAAGATTGACTGCTGCCTCCATGACATCATGATGTAGCTCTAGGGGTGAGAATGTGTCTGGATTTGTGGGGACAGTTGACTCCAACAAGTGGCGCAGGAAAGTAATAATAGAAGCCATAAAACAAAACAGGGAACAAATGCACTGTTTGTTGGCCCTTTCCTCAGCCCCAGAGAACAGTAGGGAGGAGGTATGCGGTCAGCATCTTTTCTGCACACTTGATGGGTTCTCTCCTCGGTCATGGAGAGGTGTAGCTATGGGTATAGATAATCTGAAATATTCCTGTGAACCTGTCGATTTAGGGAGGAGAAAAAAGTCTTCTTTTGTTGTTTGTTTGTTATTCACCAGCAATAAGGGTATGGGAGTGAGCGGGCACCATCTTTATTTTTAGGCTCTCGGGTTCAATGATGAATCAAAGTTTCAAAAAAAAAGGTAATAGAAAATGAATATTCACCACCCCACCCCGAAGACTCTGTAGTCCCAGTCCACTTGCCAGCCTGTGGACCTGTATTTCCTCAGAGTACGTAGAATCCCTAGAGAGATAGGCTTGGTCAGACCCTGCTTCAC